CCTTGCTTTCCAAGGCGGGTAATTTGCCTCACTTTTACCGAGTCCTCACCAGCGTCGAGGAGTCTGTCAATTAGACCCTGTAAAAACTCGACATCGTGATGGTAGCGCATTTAGGGTGATGGATCACTAGACACGGCGCGTGGAAGATCACGAGATTATAACGCCCCTGGTTGGACGAGGCTGATCTTGTAGGGCGAAATATACTACCAGCCTCAAGTGGTTTGGCTAACTGTTGACTTACAAAAGTTAAACGCCCAACATCCCTTGGTAATTTCGTTTTTTATTCTTTCCAGTTGTTTTCAGCACTCAGACTTTCACCTGTTGGAACATCAGTGTCCGTTCGACACAACAAAGTAAACAATTTATGCCACGTGGAACTGGGCTTCTCACAACGGTTGGACTTCGTGTCGGTGAGTTTGCACGGGTAGAGGAGGACGACTGAGCTGAAACCTGAAGGCTCTTCAGGCTAGGTTGTTGGGCCAAACACACTGAGCTGTTCGCAATGGAATGATGAAGCCTACACGTCGGCTTTACCCTTCTTGGCTACATCTTATTTCGACAATTTTCACATAGTCTAAACGAAATCGTTTTGGATCTCGCGGACGATGAAAACGTTCAACTGATAATCCAACGCATGAAATGTGGTACTTAACTTGGCACAAAACACATGTGAGGGCATTTGCACGGTATCCGACTAGCTTGGAGCAAGTACCACAGGATGACTGCTTCGGCGTGGTGAATAATCAGAAAACAAGATGGCGGCCAATTGTCGGAGAAAATGGCGATAGCAAGATCGCCGAAACCAAGCGATAAAAACACAGGTATTTCTGGTCGGCAATTTAGAATCGGAAATGAAACTGAGTTGTATCTAAATTTCCACGATATACTTCCAATGAACGCAGAAGGTCAACACGAAGTGATCTTGTCACCCCGAACTCCAACACACCAGATGGGAAGTCACCTGCTGCTCTAATGATAGGCCGGAGCCTGAGGAACATACTGGATTTGTTAGCACCTAAACGACAACCGATGCGCTGCACTAACTTTGTAATGGAAAACCAGTACAACAGACGACATGGGTCACGACCCAGCAATTTCGAAGTTGGAACCCCGATATTTGTTACTTCTCCGCAAGGATCAAGTGGATACCTGGAATGATCGTGCGGCTTTGTGCTCACGTGATGTACGAGAACCGCCAATCAAATGAAGCCGCGCTACGGGGAGGAAACTGTGACATGTGATACTAACGGACTAGCTCTTACAGAACTGTTGGATAATAGTGAGGCGAGCACTTTTGCCAGGCGACACATGCAGCCTTTAGAACGCCCAGAAAATGGAACACAGGAGAGGTCGTAAAGGAGAAGACGATTTGTTCAGACATTCCAAGTGTACCCTTGACGGAAAAACCCCAAGTAAACGCATTTCTTTATGTAGTGGGGGCTGTTAGGGGGACAAGTATTGCACATACATATTTTGGAAAACATTCTTAGTTACCGATTTGTTTTTTAAAGCTATCGATGTTAGTAACATTTCCTTAAACATATCTTCCTGCTACTTTTATTGACTGCTTGTGGTAACTGCTGTTGCTCTCGGATCGCAATGCCAGTTGGCTACTAACATTCTATCTTTTCGTTTGTACCTGTCTCTTATTGGTTCCTTTGTTGAGCACTCTGCATTGGCTTTATTTTGCTTGCATGCTTTTAGCAATATGGTTGGCTGAAATGTTGTTTAGTATCTTCCCAACAGATCCTTCCTAAAACTAATTAAACAGACATGATTCATTGCATACGATTCATTCCCGGCACATCTTTGGAGTTCTTCCTGTGGTTGTGGGGTGAAGGAGCCAGCTGCGACACGACAACTAAAGTGTCTTAGATAGTTTTTGTTGTAATAAATCTCATCTATTCGCTTGAACACAGTTGAACTTCTATGCGGGATAACTTGAACTGCTTTCCTAGGGCTCATGTACATCAGGGCCGACAGTATTAATGGTAATGAAGGCAAAATCATATTTTTGCAAAATTGTATAAACACTGTTATATGCAACCCAAATGTGGTTGTTGAAGATGATTTTGAAAATATCGTGGATAGCTAAAATGACTGTGGTACACTTCTTAAGAAAAACCCATAAAGAAAGGAAACGAATTGAATTAAGAAAATGTCTGTGGCAATTCATTGCACGAAATTGACCCCAAACAATGACAACGGGTTAAATGCAGAGTAGAAGAAACAAACACTGAAGAAATTGTCGGATAGTTCAAGGAACCGGTATGGAAGATGCAACAACGAAACCAATAATGAACATCGGCATTTGTCAAACATCGCACCCAGTGCGTACTGGCAAGGCATTTGATTATTACGTGTATTATGAGAAGCAGCCTTCAGTTCACATTATGTTAAGTATAATTATCAGAGAAACCAGGTGTTCACAAGTATGATGTAAGACTCCAACTGAACTGAATGTTACGAAAGCGTGATAACGCATCATATTTTTTCGACTCTTCGAACAGACGAACGTTTTTCGAAGACAGCACCCCACGAACGCGGAGTATCTACTGAAATACGGAATGTTGCAGGCTAATGTGGTCTTGCCGCCAGACGGATCTGGGAGCTGAGACTGGAGACGAAAAACGCATAACCTAACATTGTTGCACTGAGACTCAACGAGAAAGAAAGACTGGCGGGCACATGAGTTGCCATACTATGGTAGTGTCCTGAGGAAAACTCAGTTAGTATCAGTGTGACTTTGTGCGGTAACCGCAGTAGTGTGTTGAGGAGGGCTCAATGAGTTCACTATGATCAAAGTTCTGGGAACGACTCGGTTGTTACTTGCACAGTCTGTGTCTCAGTATGGTGATTGTATGTCTGAGGTAAACCCGGCGAAATGTGGGCAAATTTCGTGGAGCTACGTCAGCTCCGCAAAAGAAAGTTTGCCCGGTTTGGCTTTCACATTTTCGTAAACAGCCACTTGTTACGCGTAATTCATTTCCTTGGCAGGTAGTGACCAGGGTAGATAAGTGCGCAGAAAAAACTATCAGAAAAACTTTTAAATGAATTTTGTTGTGTTATTATAACCACTTATCACATCATAGCCCCATTAATATCTTTCTCGTCCCAGGGCCTCCCGAAAATGTCTTACGGCCCCCGGGGGTCATATGGCTCCAGCTGAGAATGACAGCTCTATACTAACATCCGACATCCTATTGGCTGACGGTGGCTGACCAATGCTGCAGCTGCGATATAGTGCTCGCGTGAACCACGGCCGACGTGTGGAATGGACCAAATTGAAAATGACAAGGGCGCAATCCGAGCTCTTTACGGCCTATACTAATTCCGCTGTGGCCTAACATGACTCGGATATATTATGTCAATGTCGCTCAGCGTACAGCCGTTCGTATACGCGTCGGAGACGGTGATATTTGGATGTGAGAACTGTGACTACTTCACTAAGCAGCTTGACTTCCGAACAGAGCAAATGTTCGTGAACAGCGTAAGCGGCCCGCGTCGAAATACCGTTCCCTATTTCAGGTCAACGGAATTCGACAACGCATAGAGCCGCACAAAACTGCCTCTATAAGCTAACGAAAAGCATTCGAGCTGCATTTTTCCGGTACAGCTAAATTTCCAAAATCCACTGCAACGGATTTTGCACAAAATACAAGCATCTTAGAGGCAAACAACCATGTAGCCGCTTCGCACCGGTCGCCCATCCCATTCGGACGCACTGAATGAGGTTGTTTATTCTCAGACTCCTTGTGGCACCATCAGTCACTGTTCAGTGAGGTACAAACAATACCTAACTCGCACCCTGTCCTGAGTCCTCACCGCGATAGAAATACCTTGCTTCGTGTCTACCCAACGCGCTTTCGCTTGCCACACATATTTTGTACACAGTTACGGGGATAGCATCCCCGATCAACCAGTCTTCACTGGTGGTATGCTACATATTGCTTTTACAATGCAGGCGGAAGGGACCTTAGCAGCAACTATGTCATTTTGTAATGAGGTGTTTTTACACATGAATGTTAATCTACTGCATCAAATGTGACTGCGCATGAATTTTACTTTAGCACTCTATGTGTTGGCTGCTTGCAGACTGGTTGAGACCGAGTGGTCTCAAAGTGCAACATTCGAAAAATCAACATACAGAACAGCGTAAAACAGGAACAATGTGGCCGAAGTGTTGACAGAAGGAGTCACCGTTTCATGTCCCCTGATGATAAAGATGAAGGTGATGGGGATAATCATCATCAGCATCATTATCAGTATTATAATCATAAACATCATCATCATCATCATCATCATCATCATCATCATCATCATCATCATCCTCATCATCATCCTCATCATCATCCTCATCATCATCATCATCATCATCATCATCATCCTCCATCATCATCATCATCATCATCATCATCATCATCATCATCATCATCATCATCATCATCATCATCATCATCATCATCATCATCATCATCATCATCATCATCATCATCATCATCATCATCATCATCATCATCATCATCATCATCATCATCATCATCATCATCATCATCATCATCATCATCATCATCATCATCATCATCATCATCATCATCATCATCATCATCATCATCATCATCATCATCGTCGTCGTCATCACCAGCATCATCATCACCATCCGCATCATACGTTGTGTCGAAACGACATCCGTTTTCTCTGCGAGACTATGCACTTTACCGCTGTTTGCCTCAGGATGTCACAGTCGGTTGAGCACCAGTATCATCCCTACATCCTGCTGCACGTTCTCAGATCATGTACTCCGGTGGTAGTGTGTCGGATGTTCACTTCGTGCCCTTGGACCTTTTGTTCGGTATCCGCCAATGCTCTATTTGTTATTTTTGTGACTTGTGTGTTGTGGGCCGATTGGCAAATATCAGCTATCGGCAAGAACAAATTAAGGTGGCTCTAAATAAAAGAACACATGGCAGTGAACGAAAGGTTGTTCTTCGTGAACTTACCTGAATCGATGTCCTCAACAAATTTCACCCAATTTACCATATGTGGATCACTGGGTGAGGAGTAGTGTTCAGACAAAACATCAAGTTGACTTGGCGTCAAGTCATGAAGATGTTGCCGAGAAATCCCCGAAGAAGACAGACAACGAGCAAACTGGGACCGAGTGACAAAGCCGCACCGAAGTTTGTCGAAATCGTTAAACCATGGCTTTAACTGAAGACGATTTGTTAGGACAATATGCCGAATTCGATCTAGCAATGCCTCCAAAGGTAACTGGTCACCAGCCGTCCTTAACGAATACTCACAGTTTGTCAACCAATCACGTCGAGTAGTCCTCTTTCCACATTTGCTGTCCCCAATATCTGGTGGGGCTTGGTCCTCAACAGGGGACAAAACGTTTGGATCGTTTTCTTTTGCACTTGGACAACGTTGCGCGATAAATCCATCATCTACAGCTTGACAGAACGCAGGATAATTCACTTCACCGGTGGTGGGGTCTGCAAATTTTCGACAAAGTCGTTTGCAATCTTCAGTGCCGACAGTCAGTCCAAGGAAATGTAGCACGCGAGCGAACTGTGAGGCGCTTATTATCTGCGTTACGCCAGTTCCCTATATGGGGGAATTCGAAGAGCAAATAATTCTGACGGGAAGTTGTAAGCGAAGAGTGCACATAACTTGCCATAGGAATACGTAAGATTATGAGAGCAAAGTGAAATATCGGGTGGGACAGCGGATTCTGAATAACTGGGCTAAATTGTCCGCATAAAGAAGTTACTCTGCCTCACTTACGCACTAGTCCTGTAGTTTCATCTCGTCCAACTCCTGCCTTTAATCTTCCACCTTGTTTAGAAGCAATTACTTGCTAGCGCAATCCATTTCGCATGCTTTTGTCAGGTGGGTACACATTAAAACTGTTTGTCGTATGGGTTATCCACTCATTAAACATTACTGTATGAGATAGATGTGAAGCGCACATTGCTTCGCCGTTCGCGTCACCGCGGACGACTTGGAGGTTAGCTCAGTCAAAGCGTCGAAGTAAAATGTCGACGCGGGCATGCGTTTGGAGTAATGCTTGCTCGCATCAAAGCTGGAATGAATTGTGAGCAAGTGCTTGCTTAACCATTGATGTGATGGGGTGGCCATTCACTAGTGTAGGAGGGTGTTTGTGTGAACATTCAATCGGTTAAGTGCGGTTCACTGAGAAGTAGCAGTTCCTTGCGAAAACGCCAATGATTTCAAACGCGTTTAATGAATGATTAACTAAGGTAAAATAGTGAGTAACGGGGGTACTGCTGTTCATAAGAAAAGGCATCCCAGAACGTTTGGGGCCTCTTCCAACTGCCGTACCGGCTTGGCTTGAAGTCCCTAAAAATGTATAGCAGTCAGTGTAGCCACTTTTAGGGGGACCTCATAATGATTTGTCAGATCCTGAGAAAGCCAAGCCGCAGTTGCCGCCAACTGCTGGAACTGAACCACAACACCAACCTAAGAGGTCATCAGCTAAAGCTGACCATATCTTACAGCCGGTTGGAATGCTGTCAAAACTGCTTCTGCCTTCCACTGTGCCGGTCGTGAAATGTCCTCCAAAAATATTTTATCTCTGCCTCAACCCAACACTAATTCCGAGAAGACTCGACGAAGTATTGTCCAAGAATAAATAATAATAATGTGTCAGCTGTACGCCGTAACGGCGCTTCGCTGCCGCGCAACCATCACCAGTCGCGCGCGGGCTGAGCATACCGCGAGGAGGCCCACCCCTACGCGGATTCGAATGCATTGTCCAAGACGCATTTTGGTTTATAACTTTCTTAGACGGCGGCTAAATGACGCAACTAAACGGTGCGTTTGCAAAATTTCTGTCAGCTGGATTTATATTTATTATCAGGTGAATATCTCGGCTCTCTTATGCATGTCTCAATGCGAACACCATGGTGAGTCTCCCAACAACCTTTCAATATTTACATTACGTACTCATCTTTCAGTTCTTTCCGCCTCATGAGACGTGTTGTGCATTGCCTTTTATCCTTAATACACCAGTTAGAGTGACTTGCACACCGCTGATCCGGCTGACATGGTGTGATCTCAAAGTCAAAACCACAGCCTATGGCTGCATTATATTCGCGCTCTGCGTTTTTCACTAGAGAAGTGACTATAATCTTCAGGCATTACCTTCAGCCTACACTCACTCGGATCGTAATAATTGCTCTACCCCCCCCCCCGAGTCAACTTTCATGAAATAACACCCAACGGATCAGGATTCGATCAACTTTAGCTGTTTCTGCCAGTTGTGTTTACATCAACACGTGAAAACTTGTTACCTGCGGATTGCTCCATTGTCTGTGCCACACTGCCCGAAAGAGCATCATCGGAGCTATTCACTAAATCCGGAATCGCTCTTTTACGACGTTGCTCACAGGAATTACGGATCAATTTACGATACATTGCTTAATCATCAGCCGTGGCTTCAATTCACATCCGGCTTAACTTCTTCAACATCAACCGTCTTCGCCGACGACGCCAATCGAGCAACCGAACAATTTGATCATCTATCCATATGTACTTGCAGATAGACACACACGCAAATTTGCGACGGACATCGCCCGCATCCTCATCGCGCTACTGTTTGGCAAGCAGCTCGCTGTCACTGGTTCAACAAACACACGAAAAACAGACGCACAACTTAACCACTCAAGGCTGAAGCAGACCAAGCAATCAGAAGGTTGCGTCTTGTGTTTATTTTCGTTTATTCTTTTTCACTACTCAATTACCTTCCAAGTAGCTCAACTTCACTGACATCTCAGCTTAGTACTACTAACCAGTAGACTCTATTGAACTGCGACTTTTGAGCCCTGTTAACCTATTCTTCATAGTTCTTGTTGCGGCTTTAAGCCTAATCCATTATGGGCCTGATAAACCATAATCGTGTTCGACAGAGTAAGGGCAGTGCCTGTTCCACACCACGAAACACATGTTTAAAAACAAAACAATAACTGAACCACAAGTTAGCTCAATTCCAGACGCTAAGATTCTCACGAAACTCAATGATAAAATCTGCTCATTGAAATCACAACTTGTTGAAATACAAAAAGCATTGACATTTAAAGAACCCTCCAAATGCACCTATTATCACTGGATTGTATTGGCAAGCGTTTGGACAAAACCGATGCGGCACTGTTGAAGAAGGCAGGATAATGAATTGCTTCTATTGCGTCCGAGGTAACCGAGCGATCCCACAGAACAAAAATATAAGTGTAACATACCGGACAAATTCAGTTTAGATGAAGGTAAAGTACTATGATAAAGTCGTTCAACATGTCCGAGCTCGACTGCAAATGTTTACGTCTAAAAAAGAAAACACCAACCCATTGCTGTTCCATCATTTTTAACTTCTCGAATGAAGAATCAGCAGACCAATTCTTCCGCAGTCAAACAGTCATTACACAGCAGACTCAAGGCAACGAATTGGTGAATAGTCTGAGTCATACACCCCTGCCACGTGCGCTTTTTGCTCTTGATCATAGTACGCTAAAATGAGGATACTCAGGAAAAAATATGCGCCTTCACTAGGCCTCTGACTAGTAAGACACTAAGCGCAGGACCCAGAGCTTCTGATAGGGACCTCCATAGTTCCTATGTCAGGGTAGCTATATCGAACACTAGAGCTTCAGGTCCCATCGCAAAACCCTCTGTGCATCCAACAACCAGTGCCGAAACTCATGCTCTTAACACTAGTCTTCTTAGTCACTCTATTTCCATCGATATATCAGCTCTACAAGATTCTATCGGCCAAGCTAAGCCTAGTGAAAACGGCCTCAATTACGGTATAAGCATGACATCGTCAAACGTCAACTGTTCCAAATTTTCGACCACTGATACACACAAGACGTATTTAGGTACGATAAAGTCGACAGTTACTAAGATTATACGTCAAAACCCTAACTACTACCACAACAATATTTTGAATCCAAGTTCGAGCAAAACTAGAGCAACTTGTCTTCTGCCTAACCTTATTTGTCAACCACCAAGTCACCAACAGTCTGTTCCGCCTTTGGACTGCTACAATCGTAAACAAAGAAATCACTACCCGAAGTATACTGAACATCGGACAACAGCACAAGCTGACAGACCCCAGACTTGCACGTCGCCTCACAGTTCACCACGGAATTACAATCCACTTTTATTACAAGCTGGAGTGGTACCACAGCCACTCCCAACATTGATACATCCAACAATCTATTTTCACACGACATGAATGAATCACTAACAAGGCAGGAACACCCCGGCCTTCACGTATCCATCCTCCCTTTGCAATTAACAATACCAGTGATCTCGACCGAGAACACACGCACTTGCTTAACTGCATTAGTGACTACCTCTGCTCCTTCATATCTGTATTCACGCTCTATAGCACAACATTGTACCCCTCAATTCCCAACCCTACCAAATATTCTCAACAGCTCTACTAACACGCAAATAGCGTTTCCCTACTCCCGATCAATGCGAGACCTATTAACAAGCAACCACATTTAGTAAACATGATTGCACAGTTGAGCATTCCAAGTGCAATCAATCCTCGTCACTGAAACGTGGTGCATTGTTAATACGTTGGATTCAACCGTAACAATCCACAACTACCAACTATTACGTAAAGATCGTTGCCCAAGTCATGGGGGCGGATGTTTTATGTAGATGTATCAAACATTCACAGCTATGCCTCTCGAACAACATGAGCTAGAAAACGCCCCGGAATCTCTGAGGTAACTTGTTACTAGCACTTCGCAACATATACTTCTCGGATGCATCAACAACCCACCGAATTCCCCCAAATGGTGATGTTGCCACCATCTACTTTGCATTACAATTTGCATCAGTGCTGCCGTACAAACAGAAAATAATAGCTGTAGGCTTCAATTTACTGGAAATACTTGGGTCACAAAATCCACCGTCCTTAACACACACGCAGATTTCCTGTCAACTATCATGGCTGGAAGATTGACACAACGGGTTATAGAACCTACTAGGTCCACTAGCGTACCTGATTTAACATTATATTAGGAATCGTCAAGGCAAACATCGCTCTGGTGGACTGTCTCCAAGATAGTGACCACAAAACATTACGATTTCTCCTTAATCTCAGACCAGATGCCAAACAGCACTTGCTCCCACAATATTCCATCCAGGGAATTGATTGAACACACTAACATTTGGTTCCATCTGCCAACTTGGAGACTGCCGTGAAGCCCTCATGGGTGCACAGAAGTTCCACGCCGAGTCCTTTCCCTCTCGCTGACCGTGTCGCCCCGGTGCCGCATGGCAACTCACACAGATGACAATTACACCGATGTTCCCGCGGTGTCGCCGCTATCTACTTCTAATACGTCACTTAGCTTACCAGGCGACAATTTAACCTGCCGTAATCAGCTCGTGATCCCCTACATAACACAGTTACTGGGTGACAACTCCCATTAATTGATGTTCGCCTTTGTAAAGGCCTTTTTACTCTCGCCAGCCCGGCAACATGGTGCTGTAAATACGGAGGTATAGAATACACGTTCGCCTTTCTTTTGAGTCAGTAGAAGTGCTCTTGTCGAAGGACTGTCTTCTCTTTCCCTCACGGTTTAGCGGTGCAGTTCTGGGATTGCACTCGTCTCGGGTGTGGGATAATCGCGGCTAGGATCTGCGGGGGCGTAAGCGGTCTGGATTTCGTGCAGTTACTTGGCGCGTGGGGAACGACACTGAGAAGCGTTACTGGCTCGGCTAAGCAGCATACGTAACAGACACATTTTCCTATCGACAAATGTTTGTTTAACATTAGCACTGTACTATAATAACATCCAATATGCCATAACCCGTCTTATTACACAAAGTAAAAGTGTTCCATGCGGCTCTAAGAATGCAGAAGAAAGCTTACTCTCACCCAGCTATGGCGAAAATTGGTGGCAGGATTTCACAGGACCGGAACCTTTTCGACAATATTACAAGTGCATGAGTGGACCACTAGGATCAAGCATACGCAAATAACGAGACTCAAAAGCGAGGAAGAAAATGTTCTACGAACGGGTAACAAAACAAAGAACTCGTTGCTATTCTTCGTCATGAAACCGGCAATAGCTCTTCTTCATGCACGGAACTCCTAGATGAACATGGCATTTGGAAGGATTTTGGCGTATTCTTTGCTTCCGCCATGATTTTTGAAGCAGACTCCATATCTGAATGCCGACAACCCGCTAAAAAACAAAAATCTAATCAATGTGGAAATGTCTCTTATGACTCCTCAGCGGCTAATGAAAACCTTCAAACCTTCTCTCAGCTTGGACTCCGATGGCATCCTTCAACTGCGATTAGAATGAGAGACCCAGACTTACCAATACTGTTGTTAAACATGTTCACTTTTTCGTTACAAACTAGCTGTTTCCCAGGTCAATGGAAAACCTCATTTATCATTACACGCCATAAAAGTGGTCCCAAGCAAAACGTTACGAATTACCGACCGATTCATCACACATCGACTATCGCCCTTCTGTTGGAAAGAGTCGTCAAGAAAACGTTGTTACAGTTCTTTACTTCCCTGAACCTATTTGACACATCTCAACATGGTTTCTTTGATAGACCTTTCTGCACAACTTGTCAGCTATAATACCTTAACTACACTTCCGAATCCATAGACTCCGGTATTGGAATAATAATTATGTTTTTAGTCCTCGAAAAACTAGTTGACCGTGTACCACAAAACCCTCGTTGAACAAAATTGAATACTTTGGAATCCAGAACCCCAGCTCAGGCTATCTCCAGGTGATGAGTCCGAACCAGGACGAAACCGCGGTCGGGATATGCCAGTGTTGGGAGGAGCAAAACAGAAATATTTCCAATCTAGTACCCGCCTTTAAATTGGCTTTCATCCTATCTTAGCAATCGGTCTCAAATAGTCACCTTGGGTGATCACCATTCTTCTCCTTGTCCAATAACCAGCTGCGTCATCCAAGGAACTGTATATGACCCCCTGGTTTTCGCCTCTACATCAATGATATTGGCAGCTCCAACAAAAATGGCTAACTATTTGCAGCTGATGTCAACGTTTTTACAAACTGAGGCGTGATACACTTCGGAGCATACTAGTTTTAATTCGAGCATATCTTCACTCTCTTGAAGAATGGTTTGAGATGTGGTTGATAAAATCCTCAACCGACAAAATTAACATTATGCAATGTGGTTGTCCCATCCCTAATGGGTCAATTAAACCTAACAACATATGAACGTCCATACGGCAGTCTACTTGTGATCGTGAAATCCTCTACTATTCCGACTTCCATCCAAAACCAAATACCTTTGGCTAAACAGCCCATGGCTAACATATACCAAAAAATCCATACAGTCCCTTCCAGAATGGAATTATTTAAAACTCTTACTCGTCCTATTCTCGAGTACTGCAACTTCACCTATGGCAGCATGCGGAAGTTAGATAGGAAATCTATAGAAAATTTACAGAGGTCGTCCAACAAACATTTGTGCAATAGCACATCCAATCTAAAATATCACCAAAGTTGCAAACAGCTTCACAGTGAACCACTCTGGCTACGACATCAAAAGCAAAAGTTGATGCTCCTCCACAACCTGTTGCACCAGAAATGGTACTTTTACCTACATCCCATAGAGATAAAACCCAGTAACCATCACAGACTCCGTAACAAAAAATGCACAATACGGATACCAAGACCTAGAACATCAATGCGGTCCAACTTTTTCCTCATCAGATACGCCGTGTTGTGAAACATATATAAACCCCACATCATTCCACACCAAACTCAACAGATTCTTTGATCTAGATGTGATATCATCCATGTTCTCATCATACAACTCACCGGACGAAATATCCCAGGATGGTTCAAAAGTAAATAAACGGCTAAGAAATGGCGATAATATGCATTAATGCAAGAGCATGAAGAGTTATGCACATGTAGAAATCAGGTGTTGCCCGCCCGAAAACACTGCACTACTATGACGCGTTCCGATGTTATTGCATCTCATCATCTAATTTCTATTTGTATCAGCTACAGTCTTTGTGATAGAAAGACCAAGGTTCACTTCAATGGGAATCGCGCTCAACATAGAGATTGCCCATCGCAATCCATGCACACAACGTGTACTTCAAAATCACCCTCAACGTCCTTCAGTATACCGTTGTGCCAAGTGTTGCCAGTGACCCGGTGGCTTAGGGGCAGCAATCACAATTAACATCCCGATGGTCCCGGGTTCGATGCCTGCTAACTTTATTTGATGAGGTGTAATAACATCGAAACGTGTCATAGTAGTGCATTGTTCTCGGGTGGGCAACATCCAAGTTCTATTTGCATCATACACGGTCCTCGTGATCGAATGGCCAAGGTTCACTTCAATGGGAATCGCAGTCAACAGTGAGATTGCGCGTCGCAAGCCATCCACACAACGTGTACTTCAAAACGACCCTCAACATAGTTCTGTACATACTTATCTGCTCCTAATTTAAGAACAGTATTTCACACTTTCGAGAAATATACATGGAGAATGCCCTTCCTATCCTGCATCTAGATTACCGGATTATATATATATATATATATATATATATATATATATATATATATATATATATATATATATATATATATATATATATATTGAATCCTGCAATCTGGGTGCAGGACAGGAAGGACATTCTAATCCACAATCAGAGTTGATGAGCAACAGTCGTCCACATAAAGTAAGAAATGATGCGCGATACCCATGTACTTGGTAACAAATACTGATGGCTTATACTTACCCAATCGAAATCCCGGAAATAACCGCAGGTAGTTATGCGGTTCTTTTTTATCTTTGATCGGATTTCATCCAAAAGTTTCGATACGCGCTGCTCTTCTTCAGTGTCCAGGACTGGGAGAGCCTGCAAATTATGAACACATGCATTATCGCAGTGGTGTGGTTCAGCTGATTCCAGTTCCTTTCAACCTAACCGTACAGATAATGTAGTGAGAACGAAGCAGCAAGAAGGCACAATCTTTATTGCACGCGACCATGGTTTGCCCCCGCTGCGCGCACGGGTATCTTTACCGACCATGTTTCCGTCCCACAACACAATATACAAGAGGAATCACAACATGTCTCGTCCGGGCCTCATCGGCCGGAATATTTCATGGTCCTGACTGCTTGCTTTGCTTCCGTAGCTCGTGTTCTGACCAGCCTGGAGTTGTTCAAAAGCTCTTGATTTGCTTGGTCTCGGTTACTCTAGGGTTACTCTAGGGTACACCGACAAAGGTGTTTCTGTCTGATTTATTGGCCTATCGACACATCCCTTTTCAGTACACTTTGGATCAGGCGCGTTCTCGTTCGTTGCTCGAGTTCCGCTCTCTGCTCGTATTGTTGGGCTGAAGTTGCGCTATCGGCTCTTGTTCATGATGTCTGCGCCCGTTTCGGTTCTCCCTCGTTCTAGTGGCTTTTCAGTCTCTGCGTGATCGCTGCATTTCATGCCACTACAATATGATCCCGTTATGATAACGCAGGTTTATACAAAATTGAGCGCACCCACTATCCACTATTGGGAACTCTCATGTTCCGCAAGCTAGTTCCCCGCTTCCCCGGCTTTGGTCGTGTGAGATACACTTATATCCCCAGCCACTGTCTATAATCAAGGCTACGTGTCCTCGTATTCGCAGTTTGCCTAGTCTTTAAAGATACATGTGTTGACGGCTCGGTGTTGAACTGCACTCCTTAGTTTGGGTTCGGCCCATTGTAATGATGAGGGAGACAACAAGTACACTAAAGACGGGAAAGTCACGAACACAAGAAAGAATGAAGCAAGCACATGTGCCATGAATGAGATCGGAGGGAGTAACGCAAACCTCACTGAACGAGATGAGAGTCGGCCGCTAGCGACTAGCGGTAACAGGCCTGAGCCTGGGAGATCGGAAAAGATGTTGGTCGAAAGGTACATAAATTAAACGGATGCGCCATTGTCGGTGCTTTCAGGAGTAGCCATAAGCCGAGTAATGCAACCCCGATCAAACAAATCACGAGCATTAAGACAAATCCAGGCTACTCGGAATGCGACTTTAGGTAGCGAAGATAAGGGGACAAACACACACGAAATACTAGCCAATATTATCCAAGTTGGAGTAAGCTGGGTCACGGATATAACAGCCTGTGAGTTATCAAATGTGGCGCATTGTGGGACGGAAATGTCACCAGTATATGTGCCACTGTCACGTGCAAAAAATTTGCGCTTCTTGCTACTTCGTTCTATCATACTAGGGTGAGCGTTCATGCAGTAGATGTGGGGCATGATGCGTCAAGACCGTGCGATTTAATTTGGAGGTACAGTTCACAAACACCGTCGCTATTTTTGACTAGAAATTGAAAACATATAGAACGTCCAAGTTTCACTGACGATAACGGCAATTGCGAATTGTGAGAAAAATAGTAGAGAAGCACAAAGTACAAAAACTTCAAGGGGAGGAGATTCAGCTTAACATTGGACACTGGTGACTCAGTCCAATGTAGGCCAGTGAGAGCCTGATTCCGTGGTTCAGAGTGACAGCGATCAGTTAAGCTCACTGAACAGAGGTCTTTTCGATAGTACAATCACATCCATAGAGGAGGAGGTCTTGCCGATCAGTGGGCGCTCGATTTGCGTTCCACACAAGTCTTTCTGCAGGCTACTTTTAAGTAGGCTTTAAGCAATCAAACCCCGGTCAAAAGAAAACCCAGTGAAATGCGAAAAGCTAGCGATCCCTAACGTCACAACCTGGCGCGTTCGAAACTACAGCATGTTCCCACCGTTGATTGCCGCATCCCATTAATCGTCTTGTGGTGATTTAACGATGCGCTCAAGAAAAATGCAAGACCTCACATATTCTATGTAAAATGCTTTATTGAAATTCCAGACCGGTTTCTTACTGTACGTTTTCTACATTTCCAATAACATCAAACCAAGCGAATGCGTTTATGCACTCCTGGTCTCTGGATGTTTTATTGAAGCATTTGGGGTTTGAATGTACGACCTAACATGAGTGGGCAGCTTGTTCGTCTTCATCGTCTGAAGGGCTCTAAGTGTGGTTGGCCTGGGAGAGCATTCACTACCTTTGTGTTCCGTTCAACACGCTGAATCAGAAACGACCCCATGCACTCGAGGCAAAAGGAATAGTAATGATCGGGCTGCAACTAAAACAAAACTACCTAAGATTTTCATGCCTGTCATTTTTAAAGAAGCTAAAGTGGGGAATAATATGCTAACCAAACGGCAGTTGGTCTGGAAAGTTTTATCTTGAAGTGTGCGCATTCGAAGCTTTCGCTGTCTACTGTGAGATTGCTTGTGAAAGGTGAATGATCCTGCTGATACCAACGGTAATCATTAGTAATAAATGGAATTATGTATACATGTGTATGCCGACTGCGTTGGGTGACAGACGTGGTGATTATTTGCAAAGTACACTCACTCTTGACAGCATACCAACGGCTGGCATTTGTGGTTGTTTAACAGGATCCTTTTCCAGATCCAAAGTGTGAAATGCTAAAACAAAATAATGAAGCGTGTTTACATTGTGACAAACGGTTTCCGCTCCTCTTACCGCTTGGAAAACAAGAGTTTAATAAACATCCTTAACCAAGGTATCGGCTTGTATGATTAACTATTTGTACTTATTGTGGAAACCAAACCGCATCCCCTATAACATTTCCCATTAACTAGCCTGACGGGGAATCGAGAACCCAAAAACGGGTTTATCCTTTGCACCCTTGTTAAATTTACAGGTCCGGAAAATTTCGTATGAAATTTAATTTGATGCCAAGTACAATAGCACAACACTGAGGCACGGTACAGACGCATAGTTTGCGGTTAATTGTTCCTTTCACGGTGACCATGCGAGTACGGTTATTCGCAACTGTAATAGTCGGTCTGCTGGAGTACCTCATATTTGCCTAAAATCATGCATATTCGACAGCGATGATCGTAGCCGTTTTTTATTATCACTGGCTGGTAAGCTATTAGTGACCACATTCTCAAAGGTACAAAACCTCGTTTCAGATTTTGACGTAAGTCACTTGGATGGCCAACTCGGAAAAATACCAGACGGCTACTCGGAAAGCCCCCAGAAATGTAAGTGAGCAATCGGGATCATAAAGCATAACCTAGTTTCCGACGAATGGCATCCACACTGTCAACATATGATTAGCGACAAAGCTTTCTCGAGGGCACACTGGCAACAATAGCCCGATTTAAGTTGGGCTCAATTACTCGAAATAACACTAGTCACATAGCGCAGTTGTTTTATAGAAATTTTTTCCTTCACGTAGGCCCTTCGAGCAAAATTTCGCACTTCGAAAGGAGACACTTTTCAACCTGTCAAGAATATGGAACAAAATCAGTTATCAGGAGCTAAACAAAAGATGCAACGTGTCTATTAATGTATGAATATGGCCTCCTAACACGCGGCTCAGGTTGTATCTTTTGGCTCTCATCGACTGCAGAAAAACTGACGAAAAGGTCTTGCTCACACAGATTGTGTATGTTGCCGTCCTCTCATTATTTGCCGACTGTACTTGACACTGAGAAGGCAACCCAGCTCAAAGTAAGTAAACATTGAGACTGGAGAGTTTGATAGAGAAAGTAACTTAGCTACTTGGAATAATAAATGTATTATACCGCTGAATCGTCATCCAGTGTATTTGCCCAGTGCTGATGACTCCTCAGACGCTGATCAAATGATTCGGTTGGTCGACGTTCACTAAAAATACAGATTGCTTAAATTAGTTGATGAAGCTGTGATATGTTCGCCGAGCTGGGTAACTTGATTGCGGGTGTCTCGCCAATTGTCAAAGCAGCATCCTCATTAAGTATTAATAAATAGTTTGCTAACTAATACTGAGCATTAAGTAACTCCGAAGAGGACTGTGACCGGTCACAGAGCTGACCTAAGAGTCTAATAAAAGGGCTAGAAATCGCGCTTTTTCAGAATGTCTCCGTTGAGATATTCAGGGATATTTGAGTCATTTTTATAGGCCCGTGTGAAGCTTATTGCGAAGTAGGGTGGATCTTTACAATTACCCTGGTGCGATAGTTCACAGAACACAGTTAAGCGGTCGGCTGTGCGCGTTGCGTTGCCTTAAGATGTGGTTCCAAGCAGGACTAGCTTATCACCTTTTAAGTCAACAGTTTGAAGTGAAACACTCAACTTGTCCAGACATTATGTTGAATCAATGGGGTGGGTCATTAGCTGTTTATCATATTCCATGAGGCATGCGAACTTAATAAACGTGTCCTCGGCCTAAGCATACTTATTAAAGCTCAATCTGGCATGACTGGCAGCGGGTGCTTGTATCCTATGTTTCACGTAATTCTTTGTTTTGGGCATACAGGTTTTCTCACTACCTACATTGACATCTTTCATACCATGCGAGTCTCATGTCGGACAGCAGCTTAGATCCAAGGCGATCGACTGCGTGGAATGGAATCCACTGGCGCTGCAGGCAGCTTACAGGTAAGGTCCAGCGTTAGAGGAACCCAACTCTGTTACATTTGTCGCCTCAGCTTTTGTATACATTCGAAACAAATGAAGTCATTCCTTAGGAGTTGGACACGAAAATGCACGACTCTAAGGGATTCGGCATGGCGCGCTTATGAAGCCTGTCCGGGTGCGCAGGTCTGAGATGCTTATCTAACTCACTGAAATCACTATGTCAAGTTGGTCTGCGAAGACAAACTCGAACACCAACAGGACTTAGCGACAAAATTCACTACGAATCCTAAAATGTTCTACACACACCCGTAAACAATCTCGGGAAAATGCAGCGCGGGATCCAAGTTCTACTCGCAGTATATAGTCTGGCGCTCACTACACAAGATAAGGGGTCAACGCACTTCGACAATAATTTACTCGCACTTTCCAAAGTGAATTCTCACCTCACCCGTTGTTAACACAGGTCACTCCGCCACCAGGTTTAAGCCATGTATCCTTCATTGTTGCAAGTGTTCTAAAAAGACTACTGCTCTTGCGCATTCACAGCTCTCTTGGTGTTGACAACATAAGATAGAAGGCATTAAAAACAACCGCCACGAAGCTCGCCGAAGCGTTAGCTCGGTTCTTTCAACGAAACCTTGAGCAAATGCAGGTTCCCACATTGTGCAAGAGTGAGGAATCGTGCGGAGCCCTCTAACTACCTTCCAATCATTCTCCTCTCAGTGTAACCCAAAGTTGTGGAAGGTATAATCGCAGAGCTACTCATGGGGCACCTTGAGAGTACCAAAATCAGTGTCACAACTGCGTGGATTCCGCCGAAATCGGTCTTGAAACACCAACTTGTTGCCAGCCTAAACAAGCTGGACGAAATT